ATTAGTTTTTACTACTGCAGTTAGCTTTAATAAAGTTGTTTTAAAAAGACAAAATCATAAATCATATTATTTTGTGTTTCATGCCAAAAGTCTATAAGGGGTTTTCCAGTCAGCAATTAATGTCGATATTTGTCTTTTATCTGATCAAAGAAGTCGATTTAGCTATTTCAGCAAGTTCTATCATCTTACCAATCATACCTTCATTGCGGGTAGTGCAGAATCTTTCCATCTTTGTTCATGCAATTATCTTACTGCAGTTATATAGAAAAAAATGTTTCCTGACTTGACTCTCACTATTTGTCCATCATTCCTAAAAGAAAAACCTCTGGTTTCTGGTGCATATTAAACTTATTTTATTTATCTATACTTATCTATCTTGTTTATATTAATCTTTACAATCCATTGAATCAGTGTATGCATTTAAATCCAAAATCTCTTGGTTTTATACACATCCACCAAACACAAAATGTCCTTTCTTGTTCCCATCTCCAACATAAATTTAAAGTGACTGTATACATTCTAAACAATTTCTCTAGTGACACATATCAATAGCAAATCATTTGATAAAAATTTTCTTTAAGATTATAACATAGTATATATTTCAGTCCTTTTAGCTACAAATTATCTGTTTTATATGTAAATGGAAACCACATGATTTATGATTTTGATGGTTCAACAGGACAAATTACAGAATAAGAGATAAATGTATAATTGTATTGCTGTAAACCAGTAACACTCATTGATCAAATTTAATTAATTTTACCAATAATTGTTTCATAGATTCTGAGTAACACAGAAGACAGTGATGAGCTATCACACTAAAGCTGAGCTTGTTTTAATTATAATTCTGCAAACTGCTCCAAAACTGAGTGTAAACTCCCAAGTATCAAGAAAATGTGCTGGTAACCTGATTGAAAAAAGTCAAGACAAAGGTTTTCCAACCAATTATTGGAAGATGTTTTTCCAGTTCATTCCCAGCTGGGAGACACTGCAGCTGCTGAGAAGAAATGGACGCAGAAGCCAGCTGCCAGAAAGTAGATTTTTTTTTAATGTAGGAAGGCAAGAAGCAAAAAGTGACACAGCCGAGCCTTCCTGGCTTGCAAGTAGGTTGGAAGTGTGAATCTGAGCCTTTTATGCTTAATTCCCCTTTGAAGCTCCTTCAGCTTGATGGGTTTTGTTGTTTCTGATTGCTCTGGGTTTTGTTTCCCTGCTTTAAGGGGTTAATCCTATCCTGGCTTTTGTATTTTCTTGTCCTAAGGGTTAATCCTGTCAGGGGGCAGGAAGTAGTTTAGATTTACCTTGGAGAGTTTATGTTTAGCCTGATTCTCCTTATCTTAATGATTCTATTTAAGTGTTTATGTTGTCAGCTGTTACTTTTGTAACAGCCATTAGCAGGGCTGTTCTGAGTTTCCTTTCAGCTGGTGCTTCTTGATTTTCTTAATGGAAGGGCTGGCTTGAGTCTCTTGGCACTGTTTTCTGAGGTTTCTGGTGCTGTGAGGTTTCTGGCACTGTCCTTTTGGGGTGTACTCCTCACACAATTATGTCAGAAATGATCAGCTTATTCAACAACAGTTTTAAAGAATAGATGGATTGCTGTTTTGGAATACCAATTAAGTATTGATGATGATAATTAATATCCCATAACCAAACCAGTCAACCTTAGTTATCCAGAAAAACATTTTGAGTTCAATCTTTCTATAACGGGCAGTATGAGGAACAGGAGAAAGAACTGCAACCAAGTGGATAAGCCAAAGAAGCAAAAATGTATTTGACCCTTGCTAAGTTCTCATGAAGAAGGAAAAGGGAGAGACATTCAGACTTACAAGATTCTGTTATTGTAAATTTTCCTAGTACAGGATATTTTGAAGGGTTAAACATAAGGGTATTTATCACATTTGCTACATTATTTACATCTTCAGAAACATTGATAAATTCTTAAGGAACTGTCATAAAATGAAATCCAATGAACATTACAATAACATATTGAACTCAGATCAGAAGTGAAGATTTTAATAGCAAATATTTCAAGAGAAATAAGCACAATATAGACATAACCTAATAGATTGAAAGTTGGGCATGCTGACTCATTCATCTGCATAGGTTTCCTAAACACAATTCAATTGTGGGAATCCTTGGTCCTCTCTGAACTTGGTTGTTTACTTGCAGGTGTTTCTTTACCTAACTAGGTAACATCTTCAGTACTACAAAGGAATGAGGTTTGATCTCTGTTTATATACACAAATGTTACACCAATTAATAGTTGAAAATACATGTATTTTTACAATACAGGAACAGACTTAATTCTCATTTCAACTGGGAAACTGTGAGCATCATAGCTAAATCCAAAAATGCTAGGAATTCTGGGAATCTTAGCACTCAGATAAATCAAACATCAACAGACACCTAAAGTTTAACAATATTTTCATATCATTCAAAAGAGACAATTAAAAAGATAAAAGAAAACAAAAAGACCAGAACACCTCCTCTCCAGCAATCCAGATAAGCAGGGATTAACAGCAGTATTAACACCAGACAAAAAATTAAGCAATATACAATACCTTAATCAAGGAACTGTCAATTCACACAAACAATTAAGCAGTAAACAACCAAGGAGAACCACACTTCCACTAACAACGACATGGCAAACTACTACATATACTACTCCCCAACCCATATAGTGACGCACAGTTCCCCACATACCCTTCCCAACCCACAGTGCCTCTCATGCAACCCACATCTTTTCCAATCCTCTTGCACCTTTGTGCACGCTCCCTATTTACCTTCTCCCCAAGACACATAGGTGCCTCACATTCACACTCTCACTCACTTCCCCAACTGGCAGCAGCCACTTACCTACTTATGGACCAAGAACTTGCAACTTCCTGCCAACTTCCAGAACAGAACAGTATAGGAAGGGACCTTGGAGGTCTTCTAGTCCTTCCTCTTTTGGATGACAAAGTCTCCTAAGGAACCTATTTGATCTCCCATTTGATGCAAAGTTTGAAAGTCAGTGTTTAACATTCTCCACTGACTTTAGTTGTGAAAAGCCAGTAGAAATCACCTCACTTAATGATTATGGGGTTCAGTTAATGATAGCAACCATCTGCCAGGGATCTACGTTAGCTGGGTTTCAGGAGGCAGGCCTTCTCTGCTGTGGCGCTGGCCTGATAGAACATTCTCTACCACCAAAGTCAGGTTGGCTCCATTCCTATCATCATTCTGGACATTTCTCAAGATCTATTTATGTCGTCAGATCTGAGGATACCAGGGAAATAGACACATTTTTAGACAGCTCCCTTGTGGTAGATCTTTTACCCTCCCCATGTGATTTGTATATTTTAATTTTTTAAGTGTTTTTTATTTTTAATAATTACTTTTTATACTTTTATAATTATTGTTTTTGTACATTTGCTGCATTTATTGTTTTATGCCACTCAGAGTCAGTTCTTATGAGCTACCATAATCTCATATAAATGAGATAAATAAATAAAATAAGAACCAGGACTACAGGGACTCAGTAGTTGCTCAGTAATGTGGTCATGCTTTATAATATCACTTAGTGACAACAATCATGGTCCCAATTGCTCTCGTAAGTCAAGGATGTATGTATAGCCAAACTCCACGCCCCTCCAAAATCAGGAAAGCAAAAGAATGTCACTTCCAGAATACGTAAATCCACAAGAGCAACAATCTATCCTGGAAAAATATTATTTGCTTTCTATTCATATATTAACGATAACAGTCTGACCACAACAAAGTTCTCATCATAACTGTAGTTTGCAGGTTATCAAAAAACTGATTGATGCAACTTGGTAGATTACATCACTATTATATGTAATAGCTACACATTGTAGATTACAAACATCTGCAATAGATTCAGCTCTGCATATCTGATGATGTAAGAATTATTTCAAGGTGTAATGTTAAGTCAAAAATCTCAGACCCTTCAAAATCAGCACATTTCCTTATTTTAACCTTGCCAGCATTCCAGTTAATTTGTAGATTTACAATATAAAAATCAACAAGTCAGAAGATAATTAAAGACAAATATTTTTTCAGTGTTACTGCTTCATATTCTAATTAATATTTACATATCACAGTATACTATTCCACCACAATTCTATTTGCTTATCACAGTTATTTAAGCTGTTAAGAAATAAAATACGTTTTACCATTTACTCTCATATGAGGACATAACAAAAATTCCCCTTTTGAAAGTTTGAAAGCAGAATATACAAAATAAAAATACACTCACAAGATTAAGCGTAGGAAACTATGGCATTTGGGCTGTTTATGAGGTTGTAAATAATGATGCAATATGCCTAGGGCAGTGGTGGCAAACTTCTGGCACAAAACAGGGGAAAAATGAAGGGACATAAAAGTGCATTTATCGTGTTTTTCTTAGAACAATTAGCTGAACTCTGCCTTATCATTATTTTAGGTAGTAAAACGTCAGTATTCAGGTTAAATGGCCATGTTGGCACTTTGCAATAAACGAGTGGGTTTTGAGTTACAGTTTAGTAACTTGGTCTCTAAAAGGTTCACCCTCGCTGGTCTAGGGTATTTAGAAAGCTTTTAGCTCTCTCATTCTACCCTTTAAGGATCTATCGTCTTTATTATTAAATTCTGCAACAAGTAGAAATTCACTTAACTGAAATTATCTTTGAAAGGTAGAATAAGGATTAATGTATGTTGTCATATATATAAATCAGTAGTTCCATAACATCTTTCAGACTGAAGAATAAAAGTCATCATCTCTTAATTCTTCCATAAAAAGACTGGATACTGCTTATCAATTACTACTGCAGCTCCTTAAATTTAACTATTTAACTAATAATTTGATTAAATGCATTAAAAGAGAGGCAGCACATTACAAATATACACATTCTCAAATGTCTTAAACAAATAACTATTTTAATATCAACTATTCTGAGATTACAACCCCAAATGTACAGGCAAACAAAGTGGAACACACTCATGGAAGCAAAGAATATTCCTACCTCATACGAAAATGCACAGTGATCTTGATATCACTATCAACATAAAAGACATAATTGGGAGGGAACCAAAGTTTAGCCTCTGGGTCATAGAGTGCAAACAGACTGAAGCAGGTTGGTGTGATTCCTATTAAAAATTAAAAAATACAGAAAAATGAGAAATTCTTCAGTTATGCCATCAAATCATACTGAGCACAATCCTAGAAGTTACTTTTACTGGTTGACACCAAAGGTTACGTAGTCCCGGATCCAGCTTCTCATAGTAATCAACCAGAAAACCCAAAGCAGGACATGAACACAGCAGTCCTCTCTCTGTAACCTTCTGGTTATTGACTAGTAGCCACTGATTAATGAACTCATGGGGAATAAAACCAATTTCCTTGATTAGAACTGCCCAAATTGTTGCACAATGATTCATCTTGTGGAAACAGGTGCCATAAATAAGCTTTGTACTCTTAGAATGCAAATAGAAGTAGAATTTTTAACAAATATTTTTTTATTTTCTCTATTTGAATTTCCTGCCACTCGGCTGCATTGGATTATTTTGGGTTCTTGCAAGAAAAAGAACTTTTTATATCATATTTTATGATAGATAGGTAGATAGATAATGAGATTGGTGTGTGTCAATAACCAAACCTTTATACAAAACTTTATAAGCATATAATTAAAAGAGATTATAAACTCAAACTCATATGGTTTGCTGGGAAATATGAATGAGTATTAACCTTTTATCTACAAAAGGTAGCTTCTATTCTTCCTTCTGAGGAATCTCTTCAGGCCATAGTTTTCTAAATTATTAATTGAAAGGATATTTATCAAAAGAATAGGGGCTACACATGTCTACCACAAACAGATTTAGACAAGCCAAAACCTATTGTTTCTTACCTATCTTCTGTGCGATATCAATGCAGATCTCTTCAGCACAAGGTGTCCCTTTGATGTATGTCTGGTATTGTTCCTCTGCCTCACCCTTCCAGTGCAAAAATACCCTCAGACCCCCAGCAGGTGAAAAATGTTCCCTCTCCATGCCTGATTCACTGTGTTTTACTGCAGAGTGGCAGAGAGGCATCATGCTAATTTTCAATCCTTAGTGGAGGAAAACATAAAAACATTTAGAAAATTTGAAACATTTGCAAGAGCAAATCATTATAAGGAACCATATCTACTATAGATTACAATTATTCTCAAAATATTAAACGAACCACTACCTGGTTATCAAACAAAATTGCCTATTTCATTTATCTTAGAGAGGAACTCAAGTGCAAGGGTCGATACATTTGGGTGAATTACCTAAATACACACTCGGATAGCCAGCATGGTAAGTCTTACACATTTCCTGTTCTTCACCACAAAAGAAAAATCCATTTTTTTCTTTTTGCACACAGAACAGGAAGTTACAGAGAAAAAAATGGGTGAATATTTATCTCCTCTCTTAAAAAAAATAGGCACATTGCTATCTCAAGACGCAACATGGTATAATTGTAAAAGAATGCCTTATTCTTGTACAGCTGATGGGACCTTTCAGAGCAGGGGGCCAAACTCGATTTCATTAAGGGCCTCATCAGAGTTGTGTTTGACCTCGAGAGCTGGAGTGGGCATGGCCAACTTCATGTCACTCGTGTTGATGGTATCTGTGGTGGCCCAAGCATTCTGGTAGCAAAAGCGGCTCTTGAGCTCCATTTTCAGCTGCAACGGCCTCCTGCCACCCTCTGCCAGCGAAAATCCACAGACCGGTCCTTCACTGCTTCCAGGGTGGACCCGTAAGCCAGATCTAAGCACCCTGCAGGCCGGATCTGGTCCCTGGGCCTTGAGTTTGACATCCCTGATTTAGAGATACTATTTCTAAGTGAAACTTATCAGGTAACATCCAACTTATCCTTGGATGTTACCAGAATGAAATCACTTTTTAGTAGTGGCAACCAGATACTATTTTCTAGACTCCTACTTAAAAATTCACACTGATAAAATGAGCAATGTGATCAAAATTACCTTTACCAAATAATAGCACTCTAGCTTCCAGATTTAGTACTTTTCAACTGAAATTCTAAAAATGAACAGAATCATAGATTCTGGATTCTTATTTTCCTAGAAAAAAGATATTTCAGAAATTAGCATTAACAATAACCAATACAATATTAGTTCAAGCATCCAATCATTCAAGCCATCATGATACCTACACTTAATAAAAATGAGGATGATGAACATTAAGTCTCCCTGGCAGTTACACAAATCAGCAACAAAATATAACTTTCTTAAATAAACAAATTTGAAAATGCCACTAAATATTATTTCTTCATTAATAGTGGGAAGAATAGAATTCTGTCCATAAGCTCAGCTGTTTTTGTTTCTGCCTCACCATTGAACAACACCCCCCCCCCCAACTTCCAGTTTGGGTCTCTTCAGCGACAGACCAAAATCTGCGATCGGGTGCGGTTTCGATCTGTTCTCGCCGCTGGAGCGCCCCGATCCTTTGGATTCAGGGCTGAAGCCACCCCGTAGAGGTGGTGAAGAGGGGGGAGATTGCTGGCCGAGTGGAGGGAAGCCGCATCTCTCCTCCTTGGCTGGTCTAAACTCCCTTTCCTGAAGGTGGTTGCAGCGGTGGTCAGAAATGGCCACCTCAAAGAGGAACCCGACTGGATAAGATTGTGCAGGAGGAAGTCAAAGAGGAAAGCAGGACAGACCGGGCTAAACAACAGAGAACATTTAAGCAAGGTACCCTGAATCTAAAAGTACCTATAGGGATATTTCTGAAAGAAGATCTTTACGTGGCTAAGGAGAGAGAAAAGGAGGTTAAAAATCTTTTTTTTTTTTGCCTTTATATTGACAATTACAAATGGTATGGAAAGAAATTTATATGAATCTATTTTGACACTAATAGGCAACCTTAAGCTGAAATCTAAGTGTCAAAAGGAGAATGAAGATTTTTTCTTGGTCATTTTAAAGCCCTAAAAAAGGAGAAGAGTGGAGGCAAAAGGGTGGGACTTGGAATAATGGAAAAATGGAGTGCCACCTGGAAAAATCAGGAGGATTAACAGTGAAACTTTGAAAAGACTCCCAAGGATACATTGAAATCTTATTAAACAATACAGTAACCCACGGAAAGGAAAAGTAAAGGAAAGAAACAAGAAGGAACAGTCTGGGATCATTTGGTGATTTAAAAAAAAAGTTTTTGGCATTGGTTTTTTCTTTCTTTTTCTGTTTGACTTAAAGTCAATTGGGTGGTTGTTCAAAAGAGATCCTGAACTATGAAAAGCAAAAGGAAAAGCTTCAAGAGCAAGAAGAAGAGCGGAACAAAGAAGAAGCCATTTTTAATGATCAAATAATGCAAAATGTGGTAAAAAGGGGAAAAAGGGGGAAAGGAGTTAAAAGTTTGAGATCAAAGGCAACAGCCAAAAAGAAAAATAGTCTGAAAAAGAAGTATAATAGCAAGGAGAAGCAGAAAAGAAAACTACCGAAAGGAAAATTAGAGACAGAAGGGTATAAAAAAAGGGATGAGAAAAAAAAGGGGGGGGGAGATAGAAAGGGAAAGAACTTGTGAGGGACAAAAGCAGGAAATAAAGAAAAAGGGGAAACGTACTAGGATTAAAGGTATTTGCTCAGCTAGAAAACACAAGAGACAATGGCTAAATTAAGTTAAAAGTGAGGATTTTGCAAAGGTACAAAAGATAGTGTTGTGACAGTAGAATACTGTAATGAGTGAGAAATGAAATAAGTAAATAATCTATGAGATAAAACCGTATTGTTATGTAATGGTATGTTTATTTATAATTAATGCAATAATAAAGAAGTGAGGGAATCATTGTAATTGTTTCTAAAGATTGATAAAATATTGAAAAGAAATGTGAAAGATATATAAGGAAATTTATACCAGTTACTAGAATGAATTTGAATAATTATTTTGCTTATCAATAGTAAATAATTTATAAGATAAAACTGTATGGCTATCCAATGGTGTGTTTATTAATAATTAACATAATAATGAAGAAGGGAGGGAAACATTTCAATTGTTCTCAAAGATTGATAAATATTAAAAAGAAACGTGAAAGATTTACAAAACTCATACCAGTACTAGAATGAATTTGAATACCTATTTTGTTTACTAATGTTTATACAGTATATATATATAGTTTTTGCTGTTTTTAAAATTTTTGGAAAAAGAGTAATAAGATATGAAGTTGAATACATAAGATGAATATGCATATGAAATTGTATGGAAATGTGACAACCTGGAACGATGCTGTACTCAAATAAGATGTTTTATTTGTTTTGTTAAAACTCAATAAAACTTTATTAAAAAAAGAACAAACAAACCCCAGATTGGTTATAAAACAATAGAAACAACCAAAATTAAAAATTAAATTTTGTAATTTGAGTCCAGGATACTCACAAATACTTAAACTAAGCATGAAATGAGCTCATTCATATTATTAGAATCCCAAGCTCAATAGCAAAATCAGGTTTTTAGCACCTAAAGCAGGGGTGTCAAACTGGCAGTCAACAGTCTGGATGTGTCACACACAGGCCAGGCCCATCCCAGCTCCTCAAAAAAATGTTGTGATATGTCATGTGACGGCAACGTGATGCAGTGAGTTTGATACCCGTGGACTAGAGAAAGGCCAGCAGTATCTGGGTATGTCTGATTTCAGGGGGGGATGAAGGACAGGTACCATGGAAGAAAAGATTCTCCTCCTGTGTCCCAACAGGTGACTCTCTCCTGTGAATGTGACCCAGAGCATTCCTCTCCTACTGGAAGTAACAAGAAGGGTAACCACCACTGGGTTACCCTTATAAATAAACTGGCCCCAAGCCATGAAGGGATTTCAAGGTAACTACAAAAGACTTGAATTGTACCCTAAAGCATATTGGTACCCAATGCAGCTCACTGAGTAGAGTTGCCATACGTTCTGGACAACCAGCGTCTTTAACTGCTTATGCGGCTGCATTTTGCACCAGCTGAAGCTTCTGACTGCTCTTTTAGGCAGGCTCCTGCAGAACATGTTAAAATAATCCAATCAGAAGGTGACTTAAGGCATGAGTGACTGTGAGCAGGGCCTTGCAGTCAAGGAAAGGACACAACTGTACATAACATAAAGCTTTGCAAAATTCCTCCTGCCACTGCTGCTACATGCTCATTGAACTGGAACTGTGCGTATAGGAGGACATCCCACCCCCAACTTTGTACAAGATCTGAGGCTACAGTGTAATCTCATCCAGAACAAGTGATGGAAGGTTCCCAGAATCAGGAGGCTCTAAAACCCAAAGCCAATCAGTGTTATTAGGGTTGAGCCAAAGCCTATTGTTTCCCATTCAGATCATCCCATTCTCCAGACACCAAGACATGACCTCTACAGCATGGGCCAAGTGATTGCATGGCCAAGTAATTGGATATCATCTACATGCTGATTGCATACTTGATGACATAGCATCTTCTCTAACAAGAGGAACTGTTGCACCTACCCAGCAAACTAAGATAATTAACTGCTAGATTCCATCAAGTTAAGCTTAAGGAGATCGCAACACACTTTGGTATAAACACAAATCTCACCAATCCTTTCGGTATCCAGCTATTAAGATTTTTCTGGCTTTCCTGATTTGGGATTAAGTACTGATTTAAGATAACACTTTCTATCCTTCTTGATCCAAGCTATATAAGGATTATCGATGCCGAATTAACAAGTATGGTCTGTATCTATATTCCTTAAAAATGTAAGCACTCTACCCACTGTTTTGTGCAGGGTCTGCTCTGGCTCAGACTGATAAACCTACCTCATTACTGACACTTAATACAAGCCATTCCACTGGACGCTTGTATGAGACTGCAGATGGCCCTGAATTTTGCTATCCTTCAGAGAAGACTGCTGGCTAAGCATACAGTAAGAACAGAAATGTTAGTTAATGAATTAGCATAAATAAGGAATAAGCCTCTTATTTTATTTTATGTAAATCACTTTGTGAATATATTTAACTATATAAAACTTCTTTTTAAAGTTTGAACATGTTTATTTTATCACCCCTATCATGGCATTCCTAATCTGAGGCAGACTAAGGAGGCAAATCCAGGTGTCCCTCATTAAAATTTTGTTTTTCAATGAGCTCACTATTTTGTCTGCAATACAGAGATAGTACTGTTTGTAGAGTGTTAAATACTTGTACAGCATGCCTGTCTAAAATAATTTATAATGTTGTTACACTGTCATTTGAATAAATGTACTTCTGTTTCAAGTCTATATATTTTATGATCTCAAATCTTTAGAAAAACTTTGTTTTCCATAACCTTTTTTTTTCTTGCTCATAAGAACTGCTTGGCTGAATCAATCCAAAGACTCATCTGAGAAAACAATTCAAACAGTAGGCATATATATATCTGCAAATAGGGATTTTTTAAGGCTACCTAATCTATAGTCATTGACAGATATCTAAACCTTGATTTCTTTACTTTTTGAAACGTAAACATTAAAGCTAAAAGTAAAATATAGGAAGAAGTTATTCAAATTAATAGCCATCATCTTGGAAGTTTATGTGGTTGCTAAAAGTAAACACTGACTGAGTGGCAATATCATCACTTAATTGTAAAATTATATTTTTCCAGAATTAAAAATAAATTTTTAAAACTGTCAAACATTTATACATTTAAAGGACGGCTGGTTTCTTCGCCATCCCTTGCTTTGTGGTAGTGCAATATTTTCGTTAGAGGAAACACCCCGCCTTCAGCAATTTCACGGTTTCGAACTCCCTCGCCGCCCCATTTTTACGAGTTAGTAGATGGAGGAACATGCCCACCCTACCACATACATAGACTGAGGCTCCGTATCAGCAAATGACAGCTGGCGGAAACTTGACAGACCTTCTCCCTCGTCGGTTCCTCAGGCATTTAGTTCAAACCCCCCTTTTCTAAAGTCATTTCAGCCTCTCTCGGCGCCCCCGTCATTCCGGACTTCTCGCACCCTCGGCGCGCCATTTCCTCCAGAGCCACCCGTCAGCTCCTCTGTTCTCCCGGCCCCACCACTAGGTCCGCGCAGTCTCCACGTGCCAAGTCCCCCGGCCCAACCGCTACCTACCTCACAGGCAGCAGGAGGAGGGTGGGCGGGGGGGAGGATGGGAAGCCCACCGCTACTTTCACGCCGCTACACCGGCGGCGGCCAAAACAATCTCCATAAAACCAAAAAGAAGCAGCTGTCTGTCTGGCTTGCGAAACCAAGACAAACCTTATTATTGGCTTCATGAGACAACTTCTCTCATTGGCTCGTCTTCTGCCCCCCCCCCTCCTTCCCCCTATCAGGCTACGCCGCAAAGTTAAAGTCGGCCCACCTTGGAGGCGCGTGATTGGAAGCTTGAAAGACGATTGGCGTCCCCAAGTGCGCGAAGGGCTCTGCATTTAGCCCCGCGTGCTACTGTCCTCCGCCCAGCCCTGATGGCTAGCTTGGACGCCTCGCTTGTTTTGGTGGCCGCCCGCCCGCCCGCTGAGCTACTGCGTCGCTGGAAGAAAGAGGCAGTCTCCAAGCACTGCAGCCTGAAGGCCCAGGCGAGCTTATAAGGGCGCGATCCGAAAGAAGCCACAGGGTTAGTTTCAATGTATACGGTATACTGGCTGAAATAACCAGACTGGCGTGCATTCCTGTGTCTCCAAGCAAGGAGGTTGGAGGCTCGTGAATGCACGCTGGTCTGGCGTCTCAGAAAGCGGGTGTTTCCCCCTCCCCGCCCTTTTCTGGATTTTCGATCCTTCCTGAATGGGAAGGATCCGCATTCTGCATCAAGTAAACTGTAAAGAAAATTAAGCAGTCTGGCAGCGAAAATCGTTCCTCGTACATGAGCCCCCTCTCCTGGATTTTCTCTGCCAGACTGCTTAATTTGTTTATACATATTGTTTGAACCATAATATTTTTACTACTTGAGCAATACCAGCTTATTTTTGTGATATTTTTGCCTTGTCCCAGCTATTGGCTTATCTTTTATATATTTTCCTTTTTCGTTCGATTCTAATTATCGCCTATATTCCTTATTCTGTAATAATAATCTGGTGGTTGCAGTAATACATTGTAAAACTTTGCATTCTTTATTATGTGGCCTCTTGCTTGTGTGGGAAGAAATATCCATTGGTTCAGTTCCAAGTCGGGAGAAAGGCACTGGAGATAAACTAGATTGGGAAAATGGTTTAATGATGAAGCAGAACCACATGGGTTCTGGGCAATTGATCACATGGAGTTAAGGGTGGTTTATTTCTCTTGGGCTTTGCACTTGAACTTCCTGTTCTGTATTCTATGTATTCTATTCCCATGGGGCCATGTAGGGGTCATAACTGGCTCTATAGGCAAAGAACAAATCCTAGGCATTTGTCTAAGTTTGGTTGAAGTTTCTGAGAGTGATGCAGTGAAAGGGCTTGTGTTCTGAAAGACTGTTGGGCCATTCCTATTGTGGCTTAATGGCTTTTCCCTGTGTTGGATCTTAAGTGAGGGCTGCTAACCCTACCATTCTGCCTTTGTTTCAAAATACCCTGTCTTGAATAGATTACCAAATCTGCATTTCTAAAAGGTAACCTCCTCAGTTTGGGTTCTGAATAGGCTGTCCCAATCTTTGTTAATGGGCACAAAATATCTGCTGGGGCTATTAAGAAAGTTGGGGGTTGCTTTCTGCCTCTAAAAAAACCATGTTTCTCCATTTCTCCCTTTGGGAAATATAATATTCTGCCCTTTTTTTAATATTCCTTAAAGTATTTCATTCTGCTGGGCGGGTGTGGCTTCCCACACTTGGTTATTGATGCATGCACAATATCCTCTGATCTTCAATTAAGGGTATTAATGTCTGTAAATATTTTTATAATATATTAAAACATTTTTTATTTTTTTCTGCAGTAGCCCTTAAACGGACAAAAAGGCAACAGAGTCTGACAGATTTTTTCAACAAGAAACCAGTTGTATCAGAATTGGCCATGGATGCTACAAAACAGTCACAAGCACAACCACTCCAACTTGAAGAAAGCAGCAAGATGAATGAAAACCATTTACGTATTACTTGTAGAGTATTCAATATAGTTTACAGTGTGGCACAAAGATGTAGACCACTTTCTGACGTAGAAAGTAACATAGAATTGCACATTAAAAATGGACTAGATCTGGGAATAGGATTGCATTCACGTGAAACTGCAGTGAAAATAGTTGATTTCATTGCAAAAGAAATGAAAACCAAATTGTTTACTAAAATTATTGAAAAGAATCTGAAAATATGTTTGATTATTGATGAAGCTCCAATGATTGCTTGCAAGCCAGTTGTGATACTTTTCGTAAAAGTTGAGGATTCAGTTTTCTCACCAACAATTTTCCTTGAGCTAGTTGAATTGGAAAAACAAGATGCAGAGACAATATGTTCTTCAGTTATGGAAAGTTTAAATAATGTTGGACTTACTAAGAACTACCTAGAAAAAAACTTAATAGGATTTTGCTCCGATGGTGCCAGCGTTATGCTTGGGAGAAAATCTGGAATGAGCACTAGGATAGCAAAGGAGTTTCCAAACATCATAATATGGCACTGTTTAAACCATCGCCTCCCTCTTGTTTTAGATGATTCAATAAAGGAAATAAAGGAAGTAAATCACTTTAAAATATTTATTGATAAGATATATGCTATTTTTCATTGCTCTTATAAGAACCAAATTGAACTTTGCGAAATATCCGACCAACTTGAAATTGAAATGATAAACATTGGTACGGTTTTGGGAACAAGATGGGCTGCCTGTAGTTTAAGGTTAACACTAGCTGTGTGGCATGCTTATCCAGCACTACATCATTATTTTTGTTCAAATGAAAAGTACTTGGGTATGGCTGCCCGTCTTGAAAATATATATTTTATAACAGATTTGGCATTGATGATTGATATTTTAAATGAGATTTCTCTTCTTTCGAATGCACTGAAAGCAAGTAAGATAGACATAATAAGGGCTGAAAAACTTGTGCTAAGATCTATTACAGCATTTCAAATGCTTATAAAGAAAAAGGGTATATATGAAAAAAAAGTTGATGAATTAATTACTTCAGAAACCTTCAAAAATATAAAATTTGTAGAAAATCATCAATTTGTCGGGCTTCCTCGGGAAAGACTTTTAGAAAACATTGTAACAAATTTGCAAAAAAGACTAATGGATTGTGAACATTTAAAAGGAAGTTGTAGCCAATTTCATGATAGGAGTAAATTACAATTTCTCCATTTTTTGGAGCCAGATTACTGGAATGTTAAAGAAGTACTAGTTCCATGGAAAGCAGCTGAAGAACAATTGCTGGTGTTTAATGATATTTTTCATTACCAAATTGATATTAATGATTATCGAGATTTTGTGAGAAACATTTTAAAAAATTCCCAGAACTATGCAATTCCTGAAAGTGTTCAAAAAGCTAAAAATATTGTCAGAACAATTGCTGTAAGTTCAGCAGAAGCAGAAAATGTTTTTTCCAGGATGAACATAATATGTTCAGAAATGACAAATTGTCTAACTGTTTCTAATGTATCAAACACGATAACTATTAGTCAAATCGGCCTACCTCTAGGGGAATGGGATCCTACTCCTACAGTGAAAAAATGGTTAAGGATAAATCACACAGATGCTGCTTGGATTGCAAGTGAGGACGCCAATCAAGAAGCAATATGACAATATTTCACATAAGTTTTATTGTTTGTCAGTTATGTAATATTTTTCCTTAATATTTTAAAACTTATAACAGTATAGTTTTGTGTACCTCTTTTATTCTTAAGTATTAAATGCATGAAGCTATAAACTACCTTTGGATATATCTTTTTTTATATTTAAAAAGGTCGTTAGGGCAGAGAACCGATAGTTATAGTATACCCTCTATAATTCCTATATACCATATACCTGCATATATCTCCCTATATACCAATGACTGCATCTCAAGCAATCTGTTAAAATACTGAAATTTGTAGATGATGCAACAGTGATTAGTCTCATTCGAGACAATGACGAATCCACAAACAGATGGGAGGTTGTACAACTTGCCTGGAACAATCAAACTGAACACTCAAAACCGTAGAAATGGTGGTAGACTTTAGAAGAAACCCTCCCATACTATCACCTCTTACAATACTAGGCAACACAGTATCAACAGTATAGAACTTGAAATTTCAAGGTTCTATTATATCACAAGCCCAAAAATGGACACCTAATATCAAAAACGCCATCAAAAAAGCACAACAAAGAATGTTCTTTCTGTGCCAACTCAGAAAGCTCAAACTGCCCATGGAGCTGCTGGTACAGTTCCACAGAGGAATTATTGAGTCTCATCTGCACCTGTATAACTCTGGTTTTGCAACCCAAAAAGGTAGACACAGGCTTCAGAGAGTAATTAGGACTGCAGAAAAAAAAATTACTACCAACCTGCCTTCCATTGAGGACCTGAATACAGCACAGGTCAAAAAGGGCTGTGAACATATTTACAGACCCCTCACATCCTGGACATCCTACCCTCAAAACTATAGAGCGTTGCACACCAGAACAACTAGACACAAGAACAGTTTTTTTCCCCGAACACCATCACTTTGCTAAACAAATAATTCCCTCAACACTGTCAAACTATTTACTAAGTCTGCATTACTATTGCTATTAATCCACCCATCCTTCCTTTCACCCATCTCCTCCTACTTATGACTGTATGACTAACCTTGTTGCTTGTATCCTAATGATTTTTATTGACTTTCCTAGTACGATTTGACTGCTTATTGTACCCTATGACTATTATTAGACTCAAAAGGGCTGTTGTATCTTTTGACTCTTGATGAATGTCTCTTTTATGTACACTGAGCATACGTACTAAGACAAATTTCTTGTGTGTCCAATCACACTTAGCCAATAAAGAATTCTATCTATTCTATTATCACTGTTCATGATTGCAATATAATGTATTACCTAAAGTGTAAATTAGCAATCTTTACATCCATTAGATTAGATAGGACAAAAGAATCCATTAGATTAATAGTTGAAAGGGACCTTGTAGGTCATCTAGTCCAATCCCCTGCCCAAGCAGAAGACCCTACACCATTTCTGATAGATGGCAGTCCAGTCTCTTGAAAGCTTCCAGTAATGAAGCTCCCATAATTTCTGAAGGCAAACTGCTCCATTGGTTGATTGTTCTATCAGAAAATGTCTCCTTATTTCCAGGTTGAAACTCCTTGATCAGTTTCCATCCA